CAGTGCTCCTTATGGCCCTTATATATAAACCGGAGAACAGCTCATGTAAAATTGAATATTTATGCGTTTCCTCTGACATTTGCAGGTAGGCCTATACATCATTCGGTATATCAACAGTCATTTAGTTTTATGTCAAAACCTCTCACTGTGTACAAAACATGGCAGTATGCATTAATGAATGATAACAGTTATTTCAACGGGTTATGATGACGCCCGAACAATAGACTGATTGCGCCATCTCAGTCACGTGACCTTTAGTGGGTATTAGACATCAATAAGCATGGCATCCTTCGATGGCAAAGTGTGTCCCAAGTTTAGGTTACCAAAATTATGCCAATTTTCGGTATAAGTGCTCAGCACATCATTAGTCTGAGTAATTTACCAACCGTAGGTTTTATTTTTGGTAAGTGACACGACTCACTTTGCTCATGGAGGACGTTATACGTTTGCTGATGTTTGACACCCATTGTTGATCATATGACTAAAGAGGGCGCAATCGGTCTATTTATACTCATTTTCTGCATTTAGCGTTATGGCCTATTGCGGAGGGTTTAAGTACCCTTGTGCTGCCGCGTGAAGTGATATGAAAGATGTAAGGACTTAAAGACAAATCCCTATGTAGAGTTGAATACACTCAGCAAAATATTTGTGTCCGGAGCCGTACAGCATGACGAGTGCCTTGACGAATGCTATGGAGACGATTTTCCCATTCCCATTCCTACGCTTAAGAGTCCCGTCGTCGTTGTTGAAAAGGCATGAACACTGTAGCACAACTAACAGTCCCTGTGGGTCTAAGACAAACATAAATCCCTGGTTGCCACGGGCAACCCCAAAAGAGCTAAAGTCAAGGCCTCTCCACTGTCATTAAATCCCGCTCATTTTTTCCTTTGGCGGTGTTGCGCCAATTCAGGAGTAGTGTGGGAGGTGTCAGGTTTCAGGTCATGCGTCTCATAGAGGATCACGAGAATTACATAATGAAGAAGGCACACTGTGGATGGACATCTGGGAAATAAGCACAAAAACACTGTCAGGATCCCGTTACACCAATAACAAAAGATAAGCAATGTGCCTTGCTTATCAGTTTGAGGGGGCTTTAATAAAGAAGACGTCACATGCTATTGTGGTGTTGAAATACTACATATCGCAGCAAGGGAAGACATTTACTGTTTACCACTGTTGTCAATTCTAAGAGGATTTAAAGCCCCGTTCATGTGGCTGGTCATTAGGTGCTCTGTTTTGCCAAACGTGAGTATGTGTTTTGGTAACCTTTTCTCTTCTTCTTTCTTTTTACTTTTCGCGTTTTGGAATTATGCTTAGATGTTGCAGTAAGACATTGCACCTTTAATGTTGCTTGAAGACTACAGAATTATGAGTCGCGTTTTAAGGTTTCGTCGTCACGATGTGCTATGATCGCTAGCTTCAAAAAAGTGAGGCATGTGAAGGAAATGCAGACAAAGTGAGATGGAGAAGCAAACGAATACATGACTTGAAAGCTGGACGAGTTGTCAAGACTCATGATGGGGAAATTAATTGGTTACAGAGAACAAACGAGACAAGGGCGGCGAACCAAAGGCCTTGTCTTCGTGGACGTTAATAAAGCTCGGGAAATTCCGTGAAAACGCCAATTGAGACTACCCAGAGTCCATAGGTATAGGTCGATGAATAAAGCGGAACGCCCGTGAACCAAAGTTAAGTGGAGCATCCATGCTCGGACTATACCAAATGAGTTGCCCCGGGACAACAATTCATGCATTTAGTCTACCTCCTGGCGTTATTACTATCGTATTATCGTACTCTGTTGCACCAAGCCCTCTTGAAAGATTCAGAGCGAGAGAAAATGCCAACATTGTGCTGGGGGCAATCCACATTATTTCTCCCGTCCGATCATATCACCGTTCGCGTTCTGTTAGCAGACGGGAGGGGACCACGGACGAGGCCCAGCCAATTTGTGCCACCGAGATGTGTATCTCGGTGATAAATAATATCCATCGGAGTGTACTTGTATATGGTGACTCATTGTTGAAAAGTTCCAGCGAGGAAAATACTGTCGATTCCTTGTGGCACATCGTCACTGTAGTCTCATTCTGGTATCATAAGGGTGAAACAGACCTATCGCGAATCTAGCATATTTATTTCAAATTGCAAAAGTAGTAAAATGGAAGTCAATTTCATTCTTTGAAACTGCTTCCACAACGAATGGTGCAAATGCAGGAAATAAATTCCCCGGATGATCTTACTTTCGCAGACAGCACAGCGACGGGGAAGCAATCATGGCATATTATAGTGAGCGGCAAGGCAGAGGACTTATTGGCGTTGATTTGAGAGTAGTCTGAAAGAAACCTGTTTTCCCCAATTACTTTGATGCACTGCTCAGCGTGTGATTGCATCAACCACCGTGGGTTTAACGAACCGATGATCTGAGCGGTCCGCGGCACTGCCCAATCGGCAGCGGCTCCGCTCGAAAGTATTCGGCGGTGTTAAGTCGGCGGAGCCCTAAACTTTAAATGCACACAAATGAAGTTAGTTTAACAGGTTGCACCGCAGCTGCGAAGCACTGTGGGCTAGCCTAGCTTTTCTTTCTCTTTGGTAGAACAAAGTGCTTCAGCCTGCGAAAAGGCTTGTGCATGCATCTTACTTGAACTCCCTAGATTTGTGTAGGCAATTTGCATGGAACACCTGGCTGACTATGAATACACAAGTGGACTGAATGAAGTATTTACGGAGCCATTATTAAACTTGGGTAGACTGTGGCAATAGGCGGTGCAAAACAGATTATGGGCTTGTCTACGAATTTGGCAAAGGGTTCTGTCTGTAGACAAGAGGAGCAACGACGCATGCATGTTCTTACGTGCTTGTTTGCGCGCATCGGGCCGGCAAAACATGAATTATATGAAATAAAAAAGACAGTGGCATTAGTTTCTCGCCCATTAAGGCCGGTTCATACTTCAGGTAAGCGAAGCGAATGTGACGTCACTAAACATTCACATCGAAATTCGCTCGAGTCAAAATGTGTTCACGTTTTGCAAATTTGGAGCACAAATATGTGATCTTAAGCCACAATTTCGCGTCAGTATTCACGAAATGTTTATTCAACCTCTGCAAGATGAACCCTGAACCACACTTCTGAAAAGGACTAGTATTTTTGTTGGGGTCAAAGAAATTCTTTAGGTAACCTCCTACGGCTTTCCATTCGCCATGTTCTTGCATCCCCAGATCCCCCACGAACCTCTGCACGTTTTACCAGTACTTACCGTTCCTCTGATCCCCAAGCTACATACATCTGGCTCGTTGCACAAATGACCCTTCACCAGTGGCGCACATGCGAGCCCTTCGGGTTGGCATATTCCCAGATGATACATGCAACCGGGTTTGTTCTTGTGTGACGTCGAGGAAGCGTGAACCACACCCATTTACAGGGTGTGGCAACGACACCACTGAAACTGAATAATGGCGTATCCGCCAATGGGTGCTCTTACCTACTCCTACGAAGAAAATATTTCTAAATAATATCTATGCTATTAACAGCAAAACAGTAGCATGAATCTATATCACTAATGTAATAGCCCTACGTCGAATGGACGGTTTGGATTGGTCTCTGGCTTCGCTCATCCGATTTTTCTGTATTTCGCACATTATTATTTCTGTACCTGTATATGCTACAAAACTGACCCATCTAACAACCCTCTCTCCATTAAGTGCTCGATCGCATGCATTACATATTACTTACTGCCTGGCGAATGTGATCCTTCCAAAACAGTCCTTTTTAAAATTGTACATTGTTTTAAGAATTACAAGACACGCATTTCTAATGTCAAACGAACCTGCTAGGCTTCATGTACATGTACACTATCCATATTACTAAGATCTGTGAGCGAGCTTGTCCACTTACTTTCTAGTTTTGAAACACGGCAGTACAATTCACTCGTTTAAAAAGTCATTAAAATGTCACCACTGCAGCAAGGTTGAGCAGCGAGCGCAAACCGAGTAATTCCAATCAATATTTCCGTGCAGCCTCAGTAAACAAACTGAAATTGCCGGGGCTTTTTTCGTGCAGATTGCTGGCCGAAAAACAGCCTGACAAGGTGAGACGATGCTCGTTGGGCGATGAAAACAAGAGATTGAGAGGAGGGGAAAGAGAAAGGAGCTTGTCTCAGGAATGTGTTTTATCGATTTCGTCACTTCGTGGGGAACAGCAGGCATGAATTCGCTTAAGGCTTTGGTGTTGCCGACGTTTTACCCGAAGTTGAAAAGAAGCCACACGTGAAAATCTATCCACGCCGAGCAATCACAGAGCAATACCTGCTGAAAGGTGAAGAATGGTGCAGTGAAAATCTGATCTATATCTTCCTTGGGTGTATCGAACAGTTAAGTATTTGAAACGCACATCAGGAATAAAAAATTCCCAAAGATCATAACGTTTTTCTTACAGACATTCACGTCAAACAAAAAAATCATTGCACTGTTTATTAAGATACCAATTTCCAAGCTTACGCACAAAGATCCGCTAAAAAGTCCGACGGTCCGCAGTTTAACATTTTGTAGATTCTACAGTCCTTTCAGTAATGCACTTTGAAGCAGCAGTAAAATTCTCAGCCTTTCCGGTATGCTTATCTAGAGGGCGTCACCACGGAAGTATTTTAAAAAAAAAAAACCCGGACTTGCGACGCCTTCGTATGAAATAGAAGCCAACCAGCGGCCATTTTTACCGAGCCGAATACAAATGGCGGGTTGGCTCGCTTGCAATTGTACCTACTGACGCCAGGGAGAACAAAGACGGGCATTGCTGGGCAAGCTTTGTATACGGCTCGATAAAATACATATGGCCGCTAGTGAATTCAATGATAAGCAGATTGAGGGCATTGCGAGTCCAGATTTTTAAAAATACGTCCGTGGGCGACACACTTTACTCTAGCAATACTTGAATTCATTTCAACTCATGTTTATAAATTGAAACCCAACCATAACGAGAACCATGAGTAACTTCACTCTGTACACGCAGGTTAATCAAGGTTACAATTCTTTTATCTCCAATGAAAACGATTGAGTCAAAGTAACATCTCAGTCTATAAAGTACACAAATGAAAGTCTGATCAACGCTTCAGAAATTTAATATTTGCTGAACAAAGATGGATTAAAAGCACTTTCGACTGGAAATTAAAAAAACACTTCCATAACAAGTGTGTTTATTACGGTAAAACTGAATGTAAAGCAGTAAGAAACACAGAAAAAAGAACACAGTATCTTGAAAAACTTGCAGATTTTGGACGGTCTTCCAAGTGAAAGTAAACTTCTGTCTCAGTTCCCTCTTCTGACTAAAAAGTGACTTTCCATAACACATTTAAAAATATTCAAAAGCAGTCGACTTGCTTCTTTACCTCAACACACAGGTTAAAATCTGCAGGTCTGCACATTTATACATTTCTTCAGACCAAACTATTTAAATTTGATTTTTTTTCAACACAATTCATCTGAATCTTACACGAGGTATGTGCACCTGCATTGATGGGCTTTACACTCCCAGTAAATATTTTAATCCCCAGTTCTTCTACACCTGCAATTGTTATATTGATGAAACAAAGTATTATCAAGATGTATGTTTTGTATGAAAAAAATGTACTCAGGCTGGGTCTTTACCAAGTGTTTTTTTGGGCAGACAATGAAAATGGATTTACCCCCCAATTTGGAATGTATTCTGTCCGTCTAGACACAAATAGTATGTCAATTTGAGGTGAACACAGGAACGAGGACTTAAACAAATGTAAACATCATGTACATCTACACAAGTACATGAGTTGGAGATAGCACTGACACCAATCAGGTTTACCCCGAGTCCTCATTTGATGTGTACATTGACTGGTTCCTTCTCTTAAGCTTCTTACCTCCTGATGACCCCGATTCTGTGCTGCTTGATTCTCCTGCTGATGACAAGCAAGCAGTTCGTGTTTCATCCGTTGCCGAGTCCTCCTCTTGCGAGGAATAGATGTCCAGATTCCTTCGCTTCATCTTTCCTGTCGTTAATACCGGCGTCTCCGCAGTGGCATCTCTGATGATCGAATCTTTGAGGGGTGTGCTGCTCACATTGCTGACATCCAGGGAGATTTCATGGCTCATTTTTTCATCCAGGCTTGTTCCAAGACGTCCCAAAGGTGTAGGTAAGTCGATCAAGAGGGGGCGATCTACAGAGCGATCTCTTAAGCCTGTCCTGACAACCTCCTCCTCTTCATCTTCGTTATCGTCTAAACTGATCTCGGCAGGGTTACTGGAGGAGTTTGCAGCATCCTCTTCACTGCCTTCCTCGATGGAGGTATCGCAGGGAACAGTGAAGGAATCGTAGATGGCACTGTCTTCATCTGTGTTGACGGTCACGTCCCTCTGGCTGGTAGTCCTGAGTGGAGATGGAGTGGCCGGGATGCTCTGGCCAGTGCTCTCCATGATGGCTGCAAATGGGTCAGTGATGGACAGCTTAGAGCAAAAGAGCGCCGTCTGTGGATTCACGGCAGCCTTGGGTTGGGTCGGGTTCTTCACAGGGTTGGCTGGGTCGTGCACTCTCACAGTCTGGGTGAAGCTGAGTGGGACCTTCAAGTTGTCTTGGAATATTTCCCGGATGGCCGACAGTTGCTCAAGAGAAACAATGTAGTCCCACCTTGTACCAGGACAAAACCAGCCTTTAAAGTATTTCACCATTAGTGAAATGGGGGGGGGGCACATATGCCCTTCAACACATCGCTGCTACCTCTTAATCTCATGTCCAGCGGGCAAGCTCAGTTACCAAAGACTGCACTTTAATGGTTTTAATTTACTTCTTTCACAGGAAGTTACAACTTTCATATTCTAGACTCATAGGCCGGAAAAAAATATGCAAAACGGACATGAAAACCGTTTTGATGTGGAATACTTTTTTCCTCCCTCAACAACACAAGGTGCCCTTGGCTCTGCCACAAAGTGCAAAAAGTCGCTGCTCAACGGTATGGCTGACAAAAATACGTACCTAACCAAGAAAATCAGACTTACTTGCTATTATACTGCTTAGACGGCATGTACACAACCCTGTCATTAGTTGTAAGGAGCAACTTGGTTGATTGCAATATGGCCAGCCATTCCGTGTCATAGGTCAACTCCCAAGGTGCATCAGTCTTGTGGGGTATGTCCAAAACCTAAATTTATGTATGGTTAGAAAAAGGAAATCCACTACTCAGAAAATGTTAAGGACAACTTTTTATTTCGTGTATACTTTTTCATATAGATATTTTACTGCTGAAAATGTGCATTTGATGTTTTAAAACGTTTTTTAATTTTTTTATTCCAATGAGAACACCATCTAGAGGAACAAAAAATGAAAGAACTAGACACCACTCATCGCTTGGAAAAAATTGCAAGTGAAGAAAAAGTGGTCCTTGCTTTTTTGAGTAGTATTGTTAATCAGTGCAAGGTGCAGATTTAGATATAAAACCATACTTAAACATGAACAAAGACACCTCCATTGAAACGGGTTTAAACCTGTGACTTTGAAATGATGAACCACAAGTTCTGTCGACAGAGCTGTCAAGCCCAACGTTGGTAGTCCCCAAATGGTTCAGCACTCTGAAGGTCACAGCTTCGAAACCAACTCAACTCAAGGCAGTTTTATGTTCAAAGTTTTCTTTTCTTTTAGCTTTGATTTGAAAGTTTGAGCGTAACCCACCTGAAGGAAATTCCTTCTGGGCAGGCACTTGTCAAGTGCCAGAAACTTGGTTGTCTTGTCCTCTCCACTTGCAGACTAGAAAGGTGGAGAAAAATTGTACATGAAAATCAAATTACCAACTTACAAAGCAGGCTACTAGTGATTCTCTCACACACACAGAAGAATCATTAAGTGGATTCACGGGAAAAACGCCAGAGAAAGGACTGGTTGTGATGTAGATGTGAAATTTAGAGGGCTATAAAATTCTCATGCACAGGGTGAAAGATGCACAGTTTAAGCGAATTCTTGTATGAATTAGACAATTTCTTTTTCATTCTCTCTCTTATTTAGAAAGAGAAAGCCAAGACATGATCAAGACCAACTTCTTGTCAGCTAATGCTGCCTGGTCACTGGAGTTTACTGCTAGGATGCGCACTACAAGTAAGCTTTGCTTTAACAAATAAGGGGGATTCCATTTCCCCCTTTTTCTTTGAAACAGTGGAGGGGGGTATTGTGCTGCAGTCTGAAAAAAACCCTTGGCGCTGAGGAGAGCATCCTTAAACTTGGAAACAACCCTGATCCTTTCCTTACTGAAACCTGGCATGTTCCTGTGGGAACATTGTTCCTAACAAGTTGTTCCCAAATAGCTGTGTGCATGCACACTGTAGCAAACAGTCATATGTGGGACCATGTTAGCGGTGTTCTCTGGCTGTCTCATTGGTACAGAATGTACTCTGAAGTACCATGGGCTGTGCCCTGCATAGAATGTTGCACGTTTTGCGACGGTCCCTGACGCAGCAATCATTTCAATCATCAAGGAAATAATATCCCCAACAACACTGCTACCTACATCACTTCTGCACATTAAGGTTTCCTTATTCCCTTCGTACTTGTATGCTGACTTAGAATTATCCAGAACCTGAAATTTCTGGCACAATGCGGTATCAAAACAAATGGCACATTCTTTGAATAAATGCTCGGACAATAAGCCCAGTGCATTGGTTGCACATGGTACTCAGTATCTATCTGAATGCTACATAAACCTTGACTAGTGGCGTAACTGGGGTGCTACAGCTGCGGGGGCACCTGGGGGTGCACAATTTGTTTTCAGGGGGCACTGAAAATAATTGAACTAGGTGCCTGGCTAAACGCCTACCTACATAAATGGACGTAAATGTTCCATCTCAAAATTTCAAATGGGAGGGGGGCACCAAGGGAGGGCACAGGCCTCTGTTGTGGGGCATGTGCCCCCCCCCATAGTTACGCCACTGACCTTGACGTGGATTCTGATGATTTCCAGTTGGTCAAATCTCTAGCAAAAGTATGACAGCTCAAACTTCATTCCAGGGTTGGTCACAAAAATTAGTATAATGGTAAAAACACTTCTGGAAATGCTTCATCCAGAGGCCCAATGGTAGAATGAAAAACACTTGAATCCACCAACATCTTCAAGGATAATTATCTGTTAGGAGTCATCTCACATCTCCTCTGGGACAAGTTGCGGTAAAATTGTGGGGAGAGTGAGTACTTTCCCACAACATCCGGGCAAGTAGCAGTGCATTTATTGAGGGGAAGTTGTGGAGGAATTTTGCATCAGTAGGTCACTTACTCTGAAGGACTGTTTACATTACCAGTGGGCTTATTTTAAGTGGTTGGTGGTTTTCATAGACTGACCTTGGGTCACTCAACACACTGTGACTTTCTCTGGTCATGTGTTCAGTGTTGAAGACTGAATCAGATGGTTGTTTGGAAAAAAATTACAAACTTTGTCAGTCCCTGTGCTTATTTTGCTTCATTTGCTCGTAAATGTACAGGTTGTGTTACCTCTACCCCTTGTTATACATGCATCCATCTCCATTCACTTCTGAATTCAAAACTAAGTGAAATACAAGGCCTGTACATGATCTCTTCTTGTTTATGTCTTGTGCAGTAACATTGCCAAACTAAATACAAATAAAAGTTGTTTTAGCCTGAAGTAAGATCATATAGCTTTCCAGCAGGAGAGAAAAACCTGAAGAAGCTTTATATTTTATGAAAGGGCTGATGATATTTATTCTAAATGATACAGTTACAGAAGTTCAAAAAGCTCTGTGTAAGGAGTGCAGTCCTTTGCCTGTGGCTCTTCTGTCATCAAAACCACAAGTGTGCTTGAGTGGGCTGCCTGGCCAAAAACCTCTAGGGGGGCAGGAGAATGTGTATACAAATACTGATAGCTTTATTTCGGGGAGATTGTGGGGAAGTTTTCAGAAGCCTTCAACATTCCACCGCAACACTCTTCCGCAGTTTATCCTCAACTTTTCCCGGACGAGATTTGAGATGACTCCTTACGCAGTGGACACAGTGTTGGTGACATTACGGACTTGCCAGCGTTGTACTCGAGTACTTTCCAAGAACATGTACCAAGGTTCTCAGCAAAATATTGGACTAGGTATAAAGCTGTAGTATATAGGCATTTGAAGGCACAAGCCCAAAGGTAAGATGACAAACTAAATGTAAGACTGCAGACACTCCCAGTCTTGTAAAATTTAGGTTTTCAGGAGAAAAGTACTCGGAAAGTACTTGACCGAGTTCTTTTTTGAGTACTTTTGTCCTAAAAACTTAGTTTTTTATTAAACGATGATAGTCTTAACCCCTTGATGACGGGAATTTCTTTCCGAAAGCCGACTCCAAGAATTCCAGCCTCGCTTGGCCACGAAGGCCACCTGCCAAACTGCAAATTCTCGGTTTGTGGCCCAGCGTGCTCTGCACACTTTGAATTACACGGTGAAAAGGCTGATTGTTTGGTGGCATGCGGCTCTACTCACGCTTCCACATTCCTGTTCCGTCTTTTCAAAGTGGGGACTATTGTGAAGCTGGTGATTATGATGCAAATTCGGTCTTTTCATTTCTGGGCTACACACAAAGGCCAATTACAATATATACAAGAGCCAAGGTCTGCCTACTTTCACAGTGTTCACTCGAGCGAGAACCGAGAATGATAGCTGAAAAGCGGGCTGAGGATCTAAATATCTACGGCGTGTCTTGCCACGTCCTGGCGCGAAGGGGTTAAGTCCTCTTGTTACTTTGTAATCTTACCTTTGTGATGTACTATCAAATGCCCATGTACTTCAGCTTTGTTCTCTCCTAACCAGTTAAATATTTGGCCGAAAACCTTGGTACTCGAAAAGTACTCCACTAAAACGCTGGGACTTGCCTTTTAGTCAAGTGCATAATCGCAACCCTTTGTGAAGTGTACACTCCATGTATCGTTGTCTCAAGAAAAAGCCAAATGTCCTGTACCCACCCCATGTGACACAACAGCAGCAAATTTGACGTGTAGATGGGCAGCGAACCAGTATGTAGGCTTCAGATGATGTAATAACTCCTCATGGCACGGGGAACCTGTTGATAGACAGAATACTCAAATTACCATCATAAACACTTCCTGTGAGAATCGAGAATGTTTTTGTATACTCTGTGATTTAACAAAATTACTTTTTGTTAGACACCCCTGTTAATTTTTTTCCCACAAACATTATAAACAAGGAAACATTTCAGTCAAGAGTCCTGTTGGACAGAAGTATCTCACTTCTAACCATTTTTAATTGTCAAAAGTTATAAATGCCCTGTACTTGTAGGCAAGATCAAACACGTTTAGGTAATGTGACTGTCATGCATATTATGGAGCTCTTCTTCTGTGAGAACATGAACACAACGGGTTAAAAAAAAACAGGAACCCTGGGAAACGAAAGGAAATTGAGGGGTAAAGTCTTCCTAGGGATGCCCTAAGAAGGGCATCCAATGACCTCGGCCAATTCAACTTTAACATAAACCTGATAGGACTACAACTCGTAACAGATCAGTGGCTTCTCCTCACCCAGTGTGTTGCTATGCACTTCATCTCTAAAACGTGACTTTTTCTTGAGGAGCTGCTCTGTGTTACCGTGGTGATAAATTCCTCGTGGCCAATCATGTGACATCATGATGTCAATTGGTTGTGCGATCTTGGAATAAGAATGGTCGAGATGGAGGCATTGTGCATTAGGGAGTGACAAACAGGCGGTGCCAGACAGGGAAAGAGTTGTATCTAGACTATCCTATTTCTGCTGCCAATTGTACGTGCATTTGGGGTGACATTGTTGCCAAAAGATACAAGCAATTAAATGCAATAGCAGGTGGACTGTCACGTCATATTGTCTGTGACAAAACAAGATTCAAATTTTTGGTTAATGATACTTTTTGGAAATGGACGCTGTTTTCAGATGATCTTTGCCAATGTGTAACTACATTCATGACTACTCTATATGTTCTTAAAGAATAATAACTTTTCCTGGAGGAATGTTTGCGATCTACATGTTTATGGATAATGTAACAAAAACAGAGAATGGTAATACAGACCTAACTCGATTGAGGCTAAATGCCAACATGCCTTAAAAAAGTTTCAAATACATTGCTTTCAAGTAAGAAAATGTATAACTTTCATGTTGAAACAATCTTTTTTCAAATATTGCTGTTTTGCTCCCCTTTCCTGTTTTAAATTCAAGACAAACTGCTGGTTGATGCCTACTGCATTCGCTGGATTGAGTTATTACTTATGTTGCCAGAATTTACTGGATGTACAAGTATCATGACGGCATGAGAGGGCTTAGATCCAATGGTCAGGTATGCTTTTTGATAAACAGGGGTCCACAAGTTGGGTGCATGTCCCTTTCACCCATACCCCACCTCCTGCCTCGGGCCTGACCGTTCTTTGCCCCTTTCATCACCTGCTTGAGTCGGAATACTTCCAATCCCCTGGTGTGGTAGGCACTCCGGACAGTGTCTTGTGAGTAGGGAGGGATCTCAAAGTGCCCTTTCCTGAAGTCACGCTGCTTGAAGATGCCCGAGATACCGCCTATCCTGATGCCGCCATAATTGACCACACTGGCATACCCTGTCAGGAGGAAGACACAGACAGCGGGACGAAAGGATTTCACAGTTCAATCCAAGTTCTTTGTGTTGCATTCTGTCAGGATTAGAATTGCCTCCCACGACATGTTACCTTTTTTTTAAGCACCAGAATTTCAGAATGGTGTGACAGTTCCTGATCTGGGGAGGGGGGTGAGGGATTTTTTTTGCCCCCCCAACCAAGACCTTTCTTCACCACTGGTTAAGTTTGCTCCTGCAAGATTATCGGATTTAGAAGAAACAAAATCCTCAAAGAAGATTACCTTTAACAAAAGATTATCTTGTTGAAAATTCTTAGGGAAATGTATTTCACATGAACACTTCTGAATGGGTCCCTTTAGCTCCATACTACATGTAACTCCAAGCGATCCACTTACCCATGTAGTAGACATTAGGTGCCACCCATCCTCCATAGGCCAGCTCACCAAGGTAGTTGGATGCCTCATGGTTACCACCAATAAACAGTGTCAGAATGGGAGCTTTCTTCTCCCCGGAGTAATACCTTTACAGGAAAGCATTTCAATAATTTAGCTATCAGGTAGACACAGAACATGGACACAGGTGAGATACTAACCTTCTCACCTTTGGAAGACCAAATATCTTAGGGTATTTTAGGTGGTCAACGGTTTAAATGCAGTTGCTTGGTTTCACCAGATCCCGTTCTTCTAAAGCATAACAATTCAAATGTAAGACGTTACAACTTTGGTGTAAAGAACCAGATCTGTGAAAACAGTTTCTTAAATGCCACACTTGATGAAATCATTCATCATTAGACGTCCTTCAAGGACGCATCTTTCAAGACAGTGCCTGTCATCACAGATTCAGCCATGAATTTTTTGCAAACACATCCCTTCTTTTGGTCGCTCTTCTCAGTTCCTCAATTTTCAGCTGGTTCACCGATTTAAAATATTTTCCAGGAAAAAGGAGCATCAAAATTCAACACAAACAAATTGATGTGAACAGACTGCAAAATTCAAGTTAGGAGAACATTTTTAATAACTCTTCTTCTTATAAAGTCATGCATTCACAACGACACATCTGAACAAATACATTCAAATCTGTGCCTTTGCTGGCTGCTTGAACTGATTTCCCTTTCTCCTGGGTTTCAAAATCATATGGAAAACCTGATTTTCTGTTTGATGCCCCGGACCCTTGACTCCACACCCTTTTCTGCAGTACAGACTCACTTGTAAAATGAGTTCATGGTGCGGTATTTCTTGGGTACAGCCATGCATTCCATGTCACTTTCATTACGGACTGCCTGAAAGTCACCGCAGCAGAGCAAAAGGTCAACTTTAATACCTGGAATGAAAAACACAAGAAGTCTCAGCCATGCCACTTTCAGGGTACATATCTTTTTTAAACCGACCACAAAAGTGAGCATTGAAACATAAATACTACATGTACGTTTCCACTAGAAGTAACACCCAGACTTATCCAATAACCACAACTTGAAGCTACTGACCTAAGAGATACAATGAATGCAATCTGTGCTGAATGGAATTTTTTAAATTCCTTTTTCCAGCAGAGGTATTTCAGATACATGTAGAAATGTAGACACAAAAAACGCAGAAATCGAAACACAGAAATGGCCAAACTGACGCAGGCCCACCTTTCATTTACTCGTTTATCAATTTATCAATCATTTACCTTCTTTTTCTTCAAGATGCTGAATTGTGGCATAAATTTTCTCCAGTTCCCCATGGCAACATCCCTCCACCGCTATCTTCATCTTGCAAAGATTTACAGAGCTGTCCTTGTTATAAAGCAGCCTTCAGGAATATCTGATACACATTCAGTATCAAAATAAGGCATATTTGAAGTACTGGTTGCAGCAGGGAGTCAATCGTTTTATCACAACCAACTATCACCCCAAACCTGATCACTTATTGTGTTATAAAAGTCCATGCTTTCAAATACCTGCAGTGAAACATGTACATGTAGTTTTGATTCTATTGGCAAGCACAAAGTAACTTCTATGTTGCCGACCTCACCAAAAAAGCTGGTGTTACGTTACAGAACTAGTCCTGTCTGAATTTTGACAGTGAGATATAGATTTTATACTTACATTCTAGGGAAAAAAGGGTGGGGATCTGATATTTGACATAAAGTGTGGATCAAAGTGAAAAAGACATCAGAGGAAAGTTCCAAATTAGGCTACCAACTTAGGTAGGCTTCATGCACAAAGTCTGTGGGCCATGGCAGACAAAGTACTTTCAAACACATTTTTCTTCACTCCTAACATGCCTAAGGTAGTGCTTCTCCAAGAGATTTACACTTTTGGTTGTTTTTAAACCATGTTATAGAAGATGAGTTGTGGTAAGATGTAGAACTCTTTCAAAGGAAGACAGCGATGACAACCACAGTATGGAATAAAGGCAGTGAAGAGGCTAAACTTGGCCGGTTAGCTCATGGTAATGGGAAGTCTCATTGATTCTCTATTCAGTGACATTTAACCCTAACCCTACATAATACTACAAATTACTACTTGTAGTAAAATATATTACTGAGCGCTGTCGCTTGTAAGAGGATATGACTTTATTGTTCTGTGAAGCCATAAGATACAATAGATAAGATAATGTACCATACAGTGCTGTGGCACTATGAATGCATGGCTTTATTGTTCTCTGTACAAGTAACAATGGAAGTAACCTAGCCAGAAGTAATAATCTGTAGCGCTAGGTCCTTCAGGCTCAGACTACATGTATTACTTAGTATTTTGTAGTACTGTGTAGTGTAAGCCAAACAATATGCTTGGTAGTTAGGGTTAATATTTTACTTTGGTTAGTGTCAGCAAAAAGAAGCTGTTTATGTTAGTGTTATCTGGCAGAAAGTTATAACAATATGAGATTTTCTAGTACTAGGCCCTACTAGTACCTCAGATTCTCCTTGGTACTACTGTGGATAGCAGTGGGGTCTAAGAATAGCAAGGTCATGGTCTCAATTAGTTCCACTGAGTGGAGCGTTAGTATTCCTCTTTATGTTGGAATGGATCCAGTCAAAAAAGAAGAATACTAATATCCCACTCAGTAGATCTAGATCTCAATCATACCGTAGCAATGAAGTATTTCCTTCATGTTTGAAAATGTTCTACACTAATGTTACACTTACAGCTGATTATGATTATCAAGGATTTGTGTCAACACCAAACCACAGTCAAGTACTTGAAGTAAGGCCTACAACTTTTTATATGTCGGGTCTATCAATGAATAGAATGAAGTTTCATTGGTCATTTTGTGCAATTCTAGCAGTGTCTAGCCTCACTAGGTTGGTCAATCATCCAAGAACCAGTTCCAACCTCCGACGCATACGATATGATTGTAACGGTTGTTGAAGGTTAATATCAGGGCTAAAGCATGACAATCAGACAAGTTGGGCAGAGGCCAATGCCAGGCATGACAGGTAGACATTACAGGTGGGCCTACATGCATTACAACCTGTACTAAAGAATCTAAACTGCTGCCAAAGTTTTGGAAGAGCCCATTGGCACATGTAGTATCTTGTCGCTCAGTCCAGTGTATTAGATATGTCTTGACATGGAACAGCTGTCGAGACAATGAGGGGTCAAGTAACGTAATGTTCAACGACCTTATTTTAAATATGGCGACTGTGAGCATGGTGAGATTGAATGGGTGACGTGAAGGCAAAAAAGACTGGAAAATACCAGAACGTGAGTGAAATCATTCAATAGCTTGTTTTTATAATAGAAAGTGGAAAGGTCAACAATCATGTTCGTGTGCAAAAGAAATTGCGCCCACGATGATAAGTGGATGCGCTGAAATGTTCAATACGCCGACACGAAATTGCGTACACGGATGTGTGGCTAGGGATGGACCTGGAGTGAGAGTCCGTGCCAGTCTAGTGGGGCTAGGCCTAATATTACATTTTCTAAATCAGGTAGATCGCGATGTTCGGAACTGCACAGTCACCTTCAATAAAATCAAACTTACGTGCTATCGAAAAACAGGTTTTCAGTTAAAATTCAGCCCTTTAAAGTTTAAGTTGCCGAGGGAAAGGAGAACAAGATAAGTCCGACATGACGGCAATAACTGACCTCTATTGCAG